TGCTGGGGTCGTTTGACCCCAGTACTCTTTCGTGCCATGGCAGGGGGTCGGACTTAATGATCTGCTTGGGTCCCTTCCGACCTGCTAACTATGAAACCCCAATCACACTTAAACAAGGCTAGTATAAAATCTTAAACTTCCTTTGGATAGTGATTTTTTGCTGTTTTTAAATACTTTAAAAAGACCTCTGTTTAACTTATACTGCCTGAAAAACTTTGATATGTTGATAACCCACAAAATTATACGGATGTTTGCTTTGTTCCCTAAAGATTCTGATTTTAAATTATTCTTATTTTTCAGCATTCCAAATAATGTTGTAAACCAGAGTAATGGATCACAAGAAGTAAGTCAGTTTTATTCAATTCAGAAACCATTTTCCTGACCACTGAAGCTTTATTTGGTTTTGATAGAGTTTGGGGCCCTTTTCTACCTCAGCGTCTTCCTTTGACTCTCTTTGAAGTTAAGCATTAATCTAGTCTTTTATTTTATCTACTAAATTATAACTGGGATTGGTTAACTTCACATGGAGGATTTTAGCTAATCAGCTGGAGAGAGAATCCCTTTTCCAACATGTAATTATTAAATTATGCATAAAATAATTAGCTTTGCAAGATACTGGAGTGTAGCAGCAGCCCAGAACATGTTATAGTCAAAGGAAGAATCAGGTCTGCTGCTCAGCAATTCTGCTTCTATCTCTTCTTAGTTTTGTATTTTTCTGTTTATTTCCAAAAGGGTGTGTACATTTGCAGCTTACATTATCTGCAGTATCTAACATTTTCAAGAAATTTGGGTCACCCCCCCCGCCTCCCCCTCCAAAAAGAAAATGCGTAGGCTCTGCCGTGTCATTGAAAACAGCCATTCTCAAAAGAGATCCTTCTCCCATTCCAGTAAGCAAAATGATGCATCAGTGCAGTTGGGTTCCTGATTCATAGGCTCTCCAGTGGGAATGCCTTGGACTACTTTCAATGGAGATAACAGAACTGATCCCAGCAGACAGGACACTAGCAGGGGCTTTCTCGGGCTATTTAAACAACAATTTCAAGCAAGTCCGTGTTCATAAACACTCACTCCACTTGCAAGGCAGCCTACTTCCGTTTGGCTTCAGTGCCATTTGAGGGGTTGCGGGATGCAAGGAGGCTTCATTGAAGCAATCTACCCTTTATCATGTAAAGCTATGGATTTCTGTTGCAAAGCTACTCAGAGGAGAATCATCACTGCACCCAAGCCATCCGTGATAGGAAAGAAAGGCAGCAAGCCACAGCTGTCTCACAGTCCCAGGGAATCCATCGTAACTGTGGAGATGCATCTTCAGTGGGGCAGAGCTTCAGTGGGGAAATAGGCTTGTCTAGCCCCGTGCTTGGGCATGAGAAGAAGTGCTGTGTGACTGTTCTTCGTGTGTCCTCATCCTCATGCAGCACAGAGTTAAAGTATCCTGATTGTTTTGTTTCCCAAGAGCTGGAATGCAAAGCCAGCCTTGCCTGTGGTAAGGACAGCTCCTTCTGGCCCCATCTTGGTGGAGATAGAAAACCTGCCTCGGAGCGCCGGAGCCAACCAGCAAGACAAGTCATGGTATGTTCTGCTTTGCTTTGCAATGGGAAGGTTGCTGCTTATGCATTATTGAAACGCTTTTCTCTATCTAGTCGGTTTGCCCTTAGATAAGCTATTAATATTCTGCCTTTAACAAGAATTAGCCATTAGCCATGGGCCACGTGATAGGAACGCTGCTTTGAGCCCAGGCTGAGTGTGCTGTGGAGGCAACAGGCTCAGCTCCTGTGGGACTTGCTGTTGCCTAGCAGTGACCACTGGTGGAGGCTGCAGCAGCATTTTCTCATCGTGGAGGAAGTTGTTCTGCCCTCATCTGCCGGCTCAGTCCTGATAACCCAGAGCCTGGAGTCATGTGGATGGCTGTCTAGATCCTTAGTGTACATACACCATAAATCAGAGGCCTTCTGGGTCTCTTCCAGAAGTCTTATGACATGGGTAAATGAGAGAGGAGGATTATGTTTGTGGAGATTGAAATCGTTGATGATAAGAGCTTGCTCTCTTCACTTAAAATGCCTGCTTGTGGTGCTCATTGAATTCAAGCCCATCATGTCCTATGTGGCCATTTGTAACTTCATGGTGTCTCCTTTGGATCTTGGAAAGGGAACCCTAATTTCTGTTGCACGTTGAAGAGCAGCAGTGATAAATTGAAGTTGATGTAAAGCTCTTATACTAAGCTGTTTCAGCCCTCCACAGAGAAGCCCCTTTCCCTTTGGGGTTGAATCTGAATCTCTTTTGTTGCAATTTGTCTTAAAAGACATGAAAGGCAGAGGTATACAAATATGGATAATGCCTAGTCCTCAGAGCATAATGAAATGAATGTATCTTGATTTATGCAAATTGATTATTTCAAAATACGTAGTCTATGTGGTGGTTCTTAGCTATAAAGAGGGAGTATAATTGTGCTCTGTTTTTGCTGCATTGTATTTCAACTTCAGTCAAAACTCATGATCAAATGGCATTTCTCTTTCTTTTACCCTTGATTTGCCTAGTAACTGAAATTGTGCTTGTTTGTGGTGAGATCTCACTGATCCGTCGATCTCTTCCTGGTGGTGGTGGGTGAAAGGTGGCTGTACCTTTTCTTGCCGTCTTCTCAGTATGATTTTGTTTTGTATTCACTTGGTCTTACTGCAAGGTGCTTGCTAGAAACTGGTAATTCCTTCATTTGAAACATGCGACTCCAGCTCCAAACAGCTCTACTTGGGTTTTTTATGATGCTAGATCTAAAGTTAAGTAGCATCCATGAAACTTCTGCTCAAAAGCATAAAACTTCACGGTCCATCTCTTGCAGTTTTGATCCTAGTATGCATGTGTCAGGATTTAAAAGCCTGAACCTTGTTTCTGACAGACATGGTCAATGCATCGAGGCTTCCTTACCAGATTCAGCTGCCACACAAAGAAACATCTCTTGACAGGGGTAGGGAATAGGGGGAAGAGGGGTTGGGGGGGTTACAGTTTAAAAAATGTACCTATGTGTTACCTAACCTAGTGTGCCACAGGATAAACTGTCTTTGAAATGCACTACACTGTCTGATCAGAAGAAAGTGAAACTAGCTAGGTAAAATATTAATAATTATTGTAATCACATTAGAAGCAGGGGGTCTTTTTCTCTTGGCAAAATGGTCTTAACAGATTTGCTAAAAAGCGTGCTGCCTCCTGTGGTAAGGTATTCCTTAGTGGCAAGGAGTGCACTATTAGGGTTGGGAAATAAAGAACAGTTTGGAGCTGGGTTGTCAACCATGCGTGCTACGTAAGGGTATCACCGGCTGCAAATGGGGTGAATTGAATGTCTTGCTGGAACGCACGTGTCTAGTTGGAGGATCACAACTTTCATGTCTTGAAATCTTAGTATCTTGGTGCTGTTGACGCGTTTCTTTTCTAAACCTCTCTCTACCTTCGGTTGGCCTGTTTCTGCATGAATCCGATTTGGCTCCTATTAGGAAAAGTCCTCCTTTAAAAAGTTCTTGTCCACGGATATCTGTAAAATACCAACGTACGTCTCCCTCTCTCCCGTTCTGCTTTTTTGTTTAATGGTGCAGGCTAGGATCCAAACAACCTGCATATTCCTGGGAATTGTTTTTTGCAGGTTCCTTGATTGGCTCTACTGCAGCTGCAGCTCTTCCCGATTTAAATGTCTCATTTAATTTTAAGCTGGAATGGTACAAATGCCAGCAAAAATTAGGGGCCAGATCCTAGGAAGTTCTTTGTCAGATAGGAAACTGTTCAGCGTTTTTGCTATTTGGTATTGAGACCCTATTCTCCATTATTTAAGAACTAAGACCGTAAGAATTGCCATTTACTGGGTCAGACCATAGGTCCCATCTTGCCCAGTATCCTGTGTGGGGCAGAAAATGGATGTTGAAAGGGCAAATAAACTGGAGGTGACCAGGGTATTCTGGGTTCTTTTCCCCACTGTCCTTCACTTGCAGCATCTGGTATTTAAAGTCTAGGAAGTTTGGATTCAGAGGCTGTATCCCTAACTCCCACGGTCAATAGCTGCTGATGCCCTTTTCCTCCAAAAATTTGTCCGATCCCTTTTTTAATCTGGCAAGAGTGGAAGCTTCCACCGCACCTTGTGGCAATGAGCGCCACACTTTAATTGCACATTGTGTGAAAAAGAACGTCCTTTTGTTGGTTTTAATTATCCTCAGTACAAAAATGGTCCCCCTCTTGACTGTGCAAACCAGATCCCGGTGGTCTGAAATATTAGCTGTAAAGCTGAAGACTCCCTAAATCCAAGCAGTGTCTTTAGCTTGGTTTTGTACTAAGGGAGTTGCTGCTTAGGTAAGAGGAGAGAGGAGGCAGTAGCAAGCTGGCGACTGTTTCCTTGTTATGGAGCATGCCAAGGTCTTAATACCTGCCGCTGCGAGCTGGTTTTTGCTTTGATCCTTGAACAGTTGACCTGAGGAATAGTGTCAAAACCAAAATATCCAACTGTCATTCTGACCATGAGACTCAATGAGCCATTTCTTTACCATACATGCTGCAAAGAACAACATTTTGAACTTATTCGGAAGTGACCTTTCCTATAAATCTCCTCTCCTTTCTAAAGGAGGACTACCCGTGAACACTAATCGTTGTGAATCCTGCATGTTCCTTCTGCTTCCCTGCTTTAATGCTCATGACCTCTTTCAGCTAATGCACTGCATGCTTAATTGTCTGGCATGGTTAGAAATGTTAAACCCAATGTACTGGGACAGAAGAACTGATGAAATTTGAATGCTTTGTAGCTCTACCTGATTGCCAGCCTGGATGAGCAGCAACAATGTTCCCACTTGTTTCTGGTTAAACTAATGGCCCAACTCTAAAGTTACTCCCTTTAATAGAGGGTGTTTGTTTTAGAAATTTGCTCACTTGAATAGCTTGTGTATGAGAGAGAGCACACTTACTTTTGTGATGGTATCTTCCTGCAGCCTCTCTCAGATCATTAAAATAAATGATTGCTAGTCTGACAAAGTCTGTACTGAACAGTGCCTCATTTCAGTTCTTTGTTTCCTATCAAGGCTTTTCGTGAGAAGGGACCAAACTGTTCTAAAATCAAGCCATGGCATTAGGTTGCTTATCTTAGCTGCCCAGGGATGCAATACCCAAGCTTGACTGCTTCCTATATTAATACTACTTGGCATCTATATATATATATGTAAAGGTCAGGACAGTGCTTTAAAATTAGCAGTGCTGTGTCCTGTTACTTTTCCTAAGCTTTTGAAGATGTAATACCAGGCACGTTATAGATTTGCACTGGCTGTATATAGTCATTTTTGTATTCTTGTATGATCATGGCTATGAAAAAATGCTGTGCGTTTTATAAACAAATTTGGAGACACATTCTCTGCTTTTCCAAGTCTTGGCCTTTTCCAGAAATGATCTGTTCTCACTCGCACTCTGGTACTGATCAGGTACTGCTATTATCAGCTGCTTCTAGTTCTTTGGTGAATCCCAACTAATATGATGTGATAAATTTGTATACTCCCTCTTTCACTGTGATGATCATTTCTGTGGTACACTTTTTCCCTCCACCTCCTTGTTATCTCTTGCCTTAAGAGTCTGTCTTCTGTGTTATTTTTTTAACCTTGCTGTTGAATGTAAGAGCTTGTTTGTACCGTGCATTGAGATGTGTCGTTTAAACCCTTTAATGTTGCTATCAGAGATGTGTGTTCTTTCATCATCTACAGAATGGGGGTAATTCTTGCTCATCTTTATAAAGAGCTTTGCACTCTGGCCTCAAATTCAAACAGGCATTCATTTCTAGCAGGGGAGATTTTCACCACTAGGAATCTTTCCAGGAGAGGGAGCAGTACAGGCTTTCAGCCTGCAGTCACCCCCTTTCCCCTGCTCTCCATGCCTTGCACAGGTTTGGGAGGGATCCCAGTCTGGGGAAGGCGGGAGAAGCAGAAGCTGTTCCAGTCCCCTCCCAGATCAGCCTGGGAGATCCCCAGTCTGAAAAATGGCTGGAGGACTTTGCCTCACTGAGCCGCTCACTGCTTGGACCAGACCAGGAGGGGAGTGTACAAGTGTTCATTCTTGCAAGAAAGTTTCTCTCGCTTTCCAGGTTGACCCCAGGAATATCTTTGTCCCGGGAGGAGGTGGGGCATTTTTTCCTGCTGGGAGAAACTGAATGAACAATTGTACGGTTGCAGTCTCTACCAAGAAAACACCTATATGTGGTCTTGGATGAAGAGCAATTTGTCAGTCACAAATGCAGTATGCAAGGGGTGAAAGGGTCAACAGAAGGACACACATCATCTGGCAGCATCAGTGAGGGCTTAATTTGAAACTTCAGTGTCTTGTATTGCATGTACATTTGCACCCTTCCATTCTTCTGTGTTTTAGCATTTTGTGGTGTAGCTGCTTTTTGTAACTTTTGCATTTTTCTTCTTACTTTCCCTTTTGCTTGCTACTGTCTTCCGTCCCATTCCCCATTCGTTGCTAATTACTAACTATGCCCCTTCCCACTCCAATGATGCAGGCCCTTAGATGCTGCCTACCGCTGTCAACGTGGTGGAAGCGCATGGAACTCGTGGGCCCGGCCCTCGACCCAGTCTGTGGATGGACACTACCCTCGGTTTGTCCATGAGCGCAATGTGAAGAATGCAGGAGTTCATAATGCTGCCATTGGTTATGCTGTGCAAACCGCCATGACTGATCTGTAAGACGTGAGCCTTTGGGGAGCTTGAGGCTGCTCAGTAGCAGTCAGGACACTTACTTGGTGTTGCCTTCTAAAATAAGAAAATGGACTTAAAACAGAATAGGAAAACCTGCCTTTGTGCCAAGGTTCCTATATATGGTGCTGTGTATTTAACCTTTTAAAGAAAAGAAATAGCATATACACTACAATTATTAGCCATTACCTATTACCCAAGCATTCTCACACTGAAAAGAGTTTGTGCTTTTTTTTAATGTGCTAAGCATTTTCTTCACAACTGAAGGATTTTAGCTGGTTGTAATTCTGAGGGACATTGCAGGAAGTTGCATTTCTAACGAAGTTATGTATTCCACCCATGTATTAAGCGTGAGCTTCAAGAATCTTACTAAAAGAGGAGACCATCAGTGGTATGCAACTGTCCTCTTGCACCGTAACTGTTGAAAACCTACAGAGGAGATGTGTGATTTACAGTCAAACACCAGGTTCCTTTCAAAAGATCCTGTAGTCATTTTACTTGATGATATGTCATTTTGGAAAAGAAATTGAATTATCTTAGCTTTTTAAAATAAAATTACGTGGAGCCCTTGAAAAGATGGAGAGCAGAATTTGGTAGGTGGAAGAGGGCTTTGTTTTTTGAGGGGTGTTTTAATTGTGTATACAAAAAATGTTTTCTCACTAAACTTTCACTGCCAGGAAGCTGTAAGTACACATTTTGTTGTTAGTGGAATAGCTTGTTTCATTCTTCTCAGCTTCTTGTACAGTAATCTGGAATCTTCATTATGTTGTCATTAGTGGGACAGTGTCCATGGCAATGATTTCAATATCACATGATCCAACCGCAGGTCATCCACCTGGGATCATCTAACTTGGTACGCCAGTCTGTTAAGTCTTTCAGAAATTCATGTCTATGTATCAGTATTATGATAACTGGGAGGAACAAGATCCTGCAGTCATCTAAGTTGGGGAAAATAACATCTTAGGGTGTATCTGAGGGTGAGGTTAGCTCACAGATTGAAGGTAAGGAGTGGTGTGTGAAAACCATCTCAGACTCCATTTAGCAATAGAATATTTGGCATAGTGACCCCCAGGGTTTTATTCTCCTTGTCTGACCATTGAACACTACCCAGTTTTACTGCCGTTCCTTCTCATTCAGCCTTGGAGTAGGCCTGATGGCCTTTGAAGGTCATTTCATACAAACAGTTTTGGTATAGAAAAAGTGAGTAAAGCTACGAAGTCTGTAGATTCTTCTGTACTACCAAGAGAGGGCATTTTCCTTTTAGGAATTGCAACTGGCCTTTTGCTATTTGTGGCCTTGCTATTAGGAAATGCACTTTTAAAAGGTGCTTACTGACATCTGAACCAGTAACTGAGATTTTAACATCTTATTGATTCTCCTGATCTGCTCAATTTTGCAAGTGTTTTTTAAAGAAAAATTCTTCTGCACTTTGGAGTCTTAGAAGTCATCCTTGACCCTTCCAGATAATGATGTGAAGCCTCAAAAGGGCATGGATGTTTTCAGACTCACTGGAGTCTGCAGTGTATCCCCAAGTCAGCACACAGGGATGTAGAGTTGCACATACCTGAAAACAGTATATGGTAGAGCATAGTGGGATGCACAGCTGCCAAGACCAATGAGGGTAGTCCCATTGATGAGGACTATTGGAAGCTGCTAAAGTGTGTAAGCTAAACCTGCTGTGGCCTTAAACTAGTGTATTACTGACCTGTGCCATTCCAAACTGAGCTGCTACCTTATCTAAATCGAGTACTTTAATATTAAGCAGCAACACCATTTGCTTTCTGCTTTGTCAGCTCTCTCCCGCTGTGGTGTAGTTAAAATGAAACAGGCTTCTTGAAGACCACCTGTCCTATGTGATTCATGCTGTTGACTGCTGGCTCATTGCGTTTTCTGTGTGGAAACCTTCAGCAGTGCAGGGCACTGTCTTTATCTCTGAGTACTCTCCATGTAAAGCATTATACCCCCTGCTAAAAGGCATATGATAAATTGGTGACAGGTAGTCTTAAACATTCTGCAACACTGTGATTCTAACTCCAAATATAGTTTGCTTCTTCAGTCGAAATTAATCTGGTGTTAGGTCTTCATTAAAAAAGTACTGGGGGAAAAAAAAGGCAAGCTGTTGTGTAGAGCAAGGGCTGGACTTCAACTGTTAGCACCCAGATATTTTTGCTCTGTGCGAGTAACAGAGACAACTAACCTTAGTGAAGCATTGTAAAGTTAAGAATTTTGACCAGGTTGAAACCACATTAACATCAGTACTCAATCCTTTGTCAGCCTGTTACATCAGAAAT